AATCTCTTAAAGAACTTGCTTATAAAGCAGAACAACAATTTATACAACTTAATAATACTTCTACCAATTTTAAATGTAAAACTTCTTTCTTTTATATTTTTTTTTAACAATTTCTTAAACAAGCTGCTAAAAATGATAACATAACCAATTTTAATTTCAAAAATGTATTACAACATACCTTTTTAACTTCTACAAACCCTTTTCATTTTGTTAATATTATAGCTTATTTTAATATTATACAATTTTCTACTTACCCAATCTCTTTAATTTTTTCTGAATATTATCAATTTTATCTCCCACAAGCTATAAAATATATTTTCAAAAAACTTCTAATTCTAACAATTAATACAAATCTTTTTTTTATCAAATTCTCAAATACTCAAAATTTCTGAATCAAATATTCAAATACCTAAAATCTCTAAGTCAATATTATCCACTTTATTTTAAAATTTCAAAATTTTACAAATTCTTTACATATTAACCAACTTTATTACTATCATATATTTGATTAACAACTTAAACTTCACTCAAATTTTACTAAAACTTGATATATTTAAAAAAACTAAATCTTACCAAAACTCTCTATTCTACACAATATTTTCAACCTCTCTAATTTTCATTATTTTCACAAAATTTGTTTATTATTCTAAGTCTACACTTATACTTGGACTTTTCTTCCATCAAATAACACTTTTCTTGTTCTTTTTGAAGGGTGTTGGCAAATATTCTTTGGTTTATATCCTGTAAACGAATTTCTAATTCTTTCAACCTTCTCCTTAAACTTCTTGTTTCATTTTGCAATCTATAAAATACAATTTCTATTACTTAATACAATTTTTACAAATACCAAACTCATAACTAAAACTATACCTTTGGTCTACAGTAAAGGCCATACCATAAATCTCATAAGGATAATGCTTTCGAAGTTTTCCTCAAAAGTATTCTCAGTAACTTCAATAATCTCTCTTGGAACTTTCTCAAATAGAATATACCACTTATAAAACCTCTTCAAATTACTTCGTATATAATATCATTTACCCATTTTTCAAAAACTATTATCAAACCCAAAATTCAAACTTTAATTTAAATCAAATATATTTACATGTGGTGTAACATCACACATCTTATAGATTAACTAATATATACACGTGGATAATTCTAAATTTCTTATTGGAACTCTAAATCTAGAATAAGATCTTCAAAAAACCTGCATTTTTGTTTTTTACTGTGTTCACACCCATAGTATAGTAGTTAGAGCATTGCATACCCTATGGACCGCATGTTCAACCCACTGGTAGTATGCTAAATCTGGTGTATCATGTAAGCATTACTGACTATATTATTTAGTACTGTTTTTATATACTTTTATTCTTTTTCTATTTTCTTTTACTTTTCTTTACAATTCTTTTTCTCTTTTATTATCTTACTTTTCTCTTTTACAATACTATTTATTTTATTTTTATCATTCTTTTTCTTCTTTAACTTCTCTTTTCTTAATTCTTTTCTTTTTTTGCTTTTTTAAACTTTTCTTTTAAATTTAAAATACTTAACTTATTTAATCTTTACAAAACTATCACTATTACTATCTCTTTTTTTTTTTTTTCTTCTTTCTAACTTCATTTAAATTCTTTTAAAAATACTATACCTATTTACATCACAAAAAATCTATATCTTATGCATCTTATAGTACTTCTATAAAACTTTATACTTATCCAGGGCTCACCTAGATTTGTATAAAGTTTTCAAATCTAGGTGAGTTTTGGCTACTCTAGTAGGTTTAGGTCGCAGATAAATTAGTCTAAGCTCTTATTTTTGTATATAATTTATATTTATTTGTTATTATACAAGTTTTTTATATAATTTTATTATATAACTACTTATATAAATTATTCAATAAAGATATAAGCAAGGCCTCATCTTAATATTAAAAAAAAAAAAAAAAAAAACCAAAAAAATATTGATAATTAAAAAAATAGAAAACAATAATAATTTAAAGAAATAAAATATAAAAAAAATATAAAATTGATAAAGCTGTATAATTTTAATTTTTTGGGTTACATAATATAAAATAAAAAAAACAACTCTTTCCAATGATCATTTGGACCAAAATTTTTCACTAAAAGGAAACAAACTTTTGTTGGAGAGTCATCATAGTCTAACATAACAGTTTGCCTAGAGGTCAACGGTTTTCTGTTCTGTGACTTCTTTATAAGTTATGCATTCAACATGTAAGCCAAGAGCATTAGTAGACAAGATAACTAGCAAGAGGTGTGCACCCTTGGATACAAAATCTTGGTGAAGGGACTAAAGTCTTCTTTGTTGATGAAGTTATCTAAACTGTTTTTTCCTAAAGGAGAACAAAGGGGAAATAACAAAAGCTGATTTTTCTTTAAGCTACACTCTTTTACTTGGCCAAATTGTTCCTTCTTTACTCCTATCCTCCTTCCTGTTGGTCTTCTAAAATTTTTCAAAAAAAGTGGGAATTTGGCTTACCTCCAAAAGATCAACATTGTTTATCTCCAAATCCAAATAAACTGGTAGATAGCAACACGTGTCCAAAAATAGATACAATATTCAAGTGCTAGAACAAGTCCCAGTCAAAAAAGAATCCTAATTGCTGCAGCAAGTGTTTGAGATATGGGTCTACAGATGTTGGCAGCCAGTATTGGAAATCTTATATTCTCATGTTCTTATGAGAACATCCTTTTAGATTTAAGAACATTTGATATTCTATATATGTTCTCTATGAAAAAAAATTTGAGAACATGATGCTGAAAAAGCATGTTCTCTAAGTTAATAGCAAAATACAGATGGAAATAGAAATTCCGAATTTACCCGAAAGGAAAATGAACGAACATAAAATACGAGGGGTTGGGATAAAAATTAGAACAAACGCCCGATAGTTTCCGAAAATAGAGATATTAATTAATATTAGCGATTAAATGTTGAGAACAGAGAACATAAATAAATTTTTGAGAACACTAAATCAAATAAATATGTTCTCATGAGAACACAAATCTCAAAACAGATTTCCAACACTGCGCGTAGTGTCTAAAAGATCTGTTAGATGCTATCGTGATCAAATCAGTGTTTCGGCCTAAACCTGATTTTGCAGATCATTTGCAGATCAAATTGGGCGAAACTAGTTTCGGAGGGTTTCGGACTTATAAGGCGAAACTAAAATTCCTCTGGGCGAAACGTTTCGGACTTTGGGGGGAGGTTTAGGCCGAAACACTGGATCAAATGCATCTAACAGATCCTTGACTTACATGCCTAGTACGTACGTACGTACCGGTATTTACGACGATCTGTATATGATACCCTTAATTTGAGATCGTTTGATGTAGATCATGGTAGACTGGAGGATAATAAATATTGGGAGCAAGTTTGATCACTAATCATTTGCTTTGTCTTATCCTAAATTTCGCACTGCATATAATACATTGACAGAGAAAAAAAAAAAACCATCACAATGAAAAAAAATTGGTTATTTTTTTTACGAAATTCCATATATAGACCACATGGGATGAATAGAAAGCTATTTAGGATTTTTTTACTTTTAGATCTTGTGATATTTCTATACCTAATTGTAATATACATAATTCCAAATATACCTGAACATCAAAATCGTATTGATCTTGTCGCTGATGTTGCTAAATTTGCCAATCCTCTTATAGGAACTGCTAAAGGTAATGTTTAACAGGTCAATTTCGGAGTTAATCAGATATTTAATCAATAAATTTCCGTTTTCTCTTTGACAATATTAGATGGGCATGTGTTTCCTGGTCCTTGTCTTCCTTTTGGGGTTGTCAAAGTGGGTTTCGATACTGATGGTAAATCAGATTTTAATGGGGGGTAAGAGTTTGTTATTTAATTATATCAATCAGCAAAAGGAGTTGGGTCAATTTCTATAATGAATCTATATATTTACTTATTCATTTACTGGCAGTGTATACAGTAAAGATGTGTTAGTCGAATGCATAAGTATCAACAAATCTCCGGATACCGTAAAGTCCCGAAAATAAGCAACCCCCCAAGACTAGTTTTTTTGGAAGAGTTGTTTAATTTCAGTAACTTTGAGATACTTTCCAGGGGTTGCTTATTTTCGGGACTTTACGGTATGCCTGATATTTATGAATTCGGGTAAAATGAAAAATGCACGCTATATCTCTAGTATTCAATAAAAAATTATCGTAATAATTTATTGCTCATCATAATTTGCAGTTATACTACTCATGGAAAAATTACGGGGATATCCCGTGAGTATTTCTATAAAATTAAACATGTATATATTTTCAATTATATACCATATATTTACATACAGAAAATTTAAAATTTTTAAAATAGATTTACATGTTAGTGGAACGGGAGGTAAAAATAAATAAAGAAATAAGAAATGAATAATCTTTTTTAACATTATGCAACATTTATTAACTTACAACAAAATCAGGTGAACCAAAATATGGGGTAATAAGTCAATTACCGGTGATGGATCGGCCCGAAGACAAACTCAAACTAGATAGCTATTCGTCTGAAAGGTCATTTGAGCATTTCGAAGTTGGTTATTCGAAATTTGGATTAAAGCGTTATCAAATCATGGTTGAGTTAACTGCTAGTCTCAGAACTGGTGTTCATCGATATACTTTTCCACCAGCTGAAAATAGCGCAAAAGTTATTCTTGATTTGGGTCATATTTTATCTTTTGGTTGGAGGTATTTTTAAACTGATAAATTATATATTACTCGTGTCATTGTTCTTACATTAACTTCTATTACGTATATTATTTACATACTGTACTGTACATTATTTACATGATAATTATAGTGCCAGATATGAAGGTGCTGCAATCACTTCTATTTCTCACAACCATGTAAAATGAGTAGGTCGGTACAAAGGTGGTTGGAATAGTGATGGTCAATATAAAGTCTTCTTCTGTTCCCAATTCAACGTCAAAGCCATTAATTACGAGACTTGGTGGAACAATCGAATTAACGAAAACACTTCATCTTATATTGGCGTATCTTTCGTTGATAAGATTGGTGCAATTCTAACTTTTGATACTATTAAAAATCCTGTAATTGTTTCTAGAGTTGGTATCTCATTCATTTCGGCTGACCAAGCATGTGAAAGTGCTGATAGCGAGGTACCAAATTGGGATTTTAATAAGACAAGAGAGGAGGCTGTTAAGGCTTGGAATAAAGAACTAGGGAGGATTTATGTTTCAGGCGGAACTGTAAATGTTACGGAAACTTTTTATAGTAGTTTATATAGGACCATGATTATTCCAAGTGATAGGTGTGTAGATTTTTTATTAATCAAATAATTC